CAGACTGGCCTCTGGATGGCACAGCAGTAACCTAGGATAAGGTCTCAGCAGACAGGGATGCAGGCCAGACTTCGGGGATGTGGGAGCCGCCTGTAGCCCTGCCTGCTACAGGGGCTGGCTCTTCTAGTTTCTCGATCTCTCTCCCTGAAAGCAGCAGCCTCTCTGACCCTTTCCCCAGTCTCTCTCCTCTCTGCCCCAGGGTCTTAGCCATCCAGGGGAAAGGAGAGCCTGGAGTAAAAGCTCTCTGTCCCTACTAAGTGCTGGGCTCTCCGAGTCTGGTTGTTTGGGAGGCAGCAAGCAGCTCTCTCCTCTCTGACGGTTTCCCACCTCGTCACAGGCACCAGTGCAGCTGCAGAATAAACAGACCACACTGGTCCCTTTTTGATGTCCTGGGAGCTTGTGTATGTCTACTGATGGTCACAAACAGGCGGTGAAATGGACCAGATGTAGAGGATGACAGTGGCCACAAGATGCCAGGGAGTCTGTCATACTTGAGGTCCGATGGCCATATACCTCATTCCAAATCTGAACTAATCTCATGGTCCAGAGCAGTAAGTGGAGCCTCAGAGCCGGAGACGCTGCCCGGCAGCAGCCCGAGCACCGGCCGGCTGTTGTGGGAAGGTCGTGCACCTTCCCCGCTGCCACACCCTGACCAAGTCCGGGGCTGAGGAACTGGCCCCACTCCAGCAGCAGGGGATGCAAGGTCTGTGTCTCGGGCTGCCTGTAGCTCCTGCCCAGAGACCAAATCAGAGCCCTGTGGCTCCCCCCACAAGCTAAGTGCTCCCTGGACCATGTAAGGTCCACGTGAATCTGAATTCGCTGCACAATCCCATACACATGCCTCTGCTCGGTCATCGGAAGAGGCTGAGCCTGTACTTCCCAGGGACTTGAGAAACACAAATAAAATGATAGATGCGTCCTGTGTGAATGGTTTCAATTTGCTGGAAAAAGGCAGTCGGTTGTTAGTTTTTCCATGGTGAGCTGCAGCGGCAGGGACCGTGGTACCCGGCCCCTCTGACTCATTCGGTGGGATGGGACATTCACATGCAGGCAGCCCTGGGTAGCCACTGGACCCTCTTTCTTCCCTGGGGTCAGGCCTCTACTCTGGGGTCGCGGTGGGGGGGGGGCAAATAAAGCTGGGGAGAGGGACGGAGGGATGGTACGGAATCCCATCCGCCTGTGCCAGGGCATGTGAACCCTCATCGTGGAGTGTCCCAGTGGGTCTGCATGGCTGCCCTAGCCGTAGCCGCCGCAGGTGAACAGAGAACTGAGCGCTAAATCACATTCAACTCTCGCTACGCTTTCCCTTCTGAGAAGCAAGGAAGTAGGAGGGAGACAGAGGGAGGCGCTCTGGGTTACTCCACGGGGCTGGCTCCTGTGGCCCGTCACCCACCCACCCCGGGTTTCCACCTACGCCGTGTGTGGAATCGTGGTGAAGTGGGATCAGGGTTAGGGGAGCCAACAGCAAGAGACACGGCTGGGCAGTTCGTTGGGCTCAGCGCTCAAGAAAGGTTCCAGGCACACGAGGAAGGATGTATGTGTAGCGTGGTGGCACTGCCTACAGACACGGTAGGCCAGGCAGATCTGCCTGCAGAAGTCTCGTTGTTACGCTTTCAGAGTTTCTGCTCAAAACCTGCTTCACACACAGAAAGCACCACGTATGTGTGTCTATAACCGGTCTCCTCGTCTGCACCTGTTCAGAGGGCTTTAGGTCTTGATGTTGAGAGCTGATTAGGCAGTTGGCTTCATTACGAGCATTAGGCTTCCTCACTGTAAATTCTCTGGGATCCTTGCTTTTGGAATCTGAGGTTTGTGTCCCCTGCTCTAATGAACCCTGTAGGTCAAAGCAGCCACTCTCAGCCTTGGCGGTGCCGTAAAATCACCTGGGACCTTTAAAAAACCCTGATGTACCTACCGGCTCATTGGAGCTTTTGATTTAAATAGTTAAGGATGGAGCCCAGGTGTGGTTGTTTCAGGACACTGAAATGTATCTTCTGACGTGCGCCCCAAATTAAAAATGTTAAGAAATGTGCCCTGGCCCGTGTGAATGTTGGTTAGGCATCGTCCCACAAAACAAAGGGTCGTGGGTTTGATTCCGGGTCAGGGCACAGGCCTGGGTTGCAGGTCTGGTCCCCAGTGGGGCACGTGCAGGAGGGAACCGATCCACGTGTCTCTCCCTCTTTTTCCCTCCCTTCCCCCCTCTTTAAAAATAAATAGTGAGATCTTTTTCTAAAGAGCTGTGAAGCACAAGACTATACTTTCAGGGATCATTTCTATAGTTGGTTAAAAAAGTTAAGAAATGCAAGGGGGGGGGCAACAGTAGAATCTCATACCTAACTGATGTTAAGGCGTTTATCGTTGGCAAGAAATGGTTGAGACTTTAGAAGGCGCATTAGGAACACACGGATGCAGACTTTGCAGGTCTGTCCCTTCTGCAGAAACCACAGGGAAGGCTGGGAGATCTGTGGCTGAGTCTGCAGAACCTGTCAGCTCTTAGCTGGAATTCCTTGTTCTTCTGCAACAACATTCTCCGTGGTGCGGCAAACAAGACCCCACCCTCCCTGGCCTTCCTCCGAGTGGATCTCTGGTCTCCTGAGTCCCGCGCTTTCCCCACCCCAGGAGCAGGCTCAGCGTGAGGTCTGAGGGCAGGAAGGCCTGGATCACTCAGGGAGGTGGACTGGCCCCTCTGCACGGAATCCTCAAATGCTGTTCCCGATCTCCCTGTTTCCCTTTGGTCAGCATTTCCGGACGTTGACCTTCGCAACACACTCTGCCCTGTGTGGCCCCTTTTCCAGACCGGACTCTCGGTCCACCCACCTATGAACCATACTGTGATGTGCCTGCTTTGCCCTGCATGGCTGGGAACCCTGGGTGCTTTACTCTGACATTCCTCGAAGTAGGCGTCACCTCTCCGCACAGTTAAGGGACCAAGGCTCCTCCATATCAGATTCCCCCGGGGTCCTAGCTGCCCTCTGTCTCTATAGCCCACAAACCTGAGCTGACACTAGGCCCCCCCAAAAATGCACTATGCCCCCAGATCACAACGGGAAGACGGTACAAGTACAAGGAGAGAGTCGCGTGGAGCTTTATCTTCCCAGCTTCTGTCACAACGACAGGAACATCCTTTTCTACGTTGCTCTTTAGTGTTTAGACAAAGATCTGCTCAGCACATCCCCAGTTGAGTTCAATTACAGGAAAAGATTTGTTCTGAAAATTAACTTTTATGCTTTCTGTTGTTCCAAATCCAAAACTATGCAATCCAGTGTATTTTTGTTTGTCTCTAAGCTGCCAGCAAATTGAGAGCCAAATTCACTGTCCAAGTGATTGTGGTCTGCTCATGCAGGCCATTCAAAACATCCATTTCTTTTGCTTTGCTTTGTTTTCCCCTGAGCTTTTCCCCTCGGAGCGTTACTCGAAGCCATCTCATCCTGTGCCCAAGCCCGTCCCGTCCCCAGATTCGACCTCTATCTCTTGGATAGGTCCATCCCGCCTCACTGCTGCCGTCATCCGGACAGGGGGCCCGCCCGCAGGACCTGTGCCTTCATTGTGCACCATATGTGGGCTTTCTAAGATGCCAACTGGTGCCACCTGTCCTGTTTCAGGGAGATCCTGCTTGCCTCCAGGAGCACACTTCCACCAAGAGCTCTTCCTACACTTGCCTGTCCCCCTCCCTCCTTCTTGGTGACTTTGCACATGCTGTTCCCTCAGCCAGAAACACCCTTCCCTGCTTTGTTTTCTTTGGTGAAGAGCTTTTCAGGACCCAGCCCCAGCAGCACGTACTCTGTGGGCCTCCCAGCTCTGGGCTGCCCTGGCATGCAGTGCTCATGGCCAGGCCAGACCAGGACCGGTTTTAATGTTTTGTTTCCCTGTCCAATTTGGATGGTGAGTTCCTGGAAAGAAGGGTGGTATTTATCACTGTGTCCTTAATGCCTAGCCCAGAGAAATGTTAAGTCAGTGAAGACATGACGTGGGCAGAGTTCAAATCTGAAACAAAAGGGTTGGAGGTCAGTCTCTCCACCAGCCTTTTCACTACCCCTCCTCAAAAACAGGCACTGTTTGCCCTTGACTTCTGGCAAAATTCCGCTCCATCCTAAGCAGGCCCCTAAAGGCTTTCTTCACCACTCCTTTGGTGTGTTTGATATCTGACAATGCAAGCAGGAAGGATTTCGTTCTCTTCCTTTATGTAGTGTCCACCGAGGGTGGGAGAGTCCCGTAACAAAATTACTGGAGACTGCCTGATATGACCCTGCTATACTTCCAAAGCACATCTCAACACCAGCTAGAGTTTGCCTGTCCCTTCCCCAGCATGCGCTGGTCAGAGCAAAGTCACGGCAGCCCCCCCACCCGGCCCCAGCCCCCCCACCCGGCCCCAATCTGCGCCTCTGGAGGGTACCGCCCAGCCCCCCCCAACCCGCCTCTCAAAGACAGAATCCCCCCCTCCCTACGGCCTGACTGTTCTCCGTGGTCTGAATCAAGTGCTCCTAAATATCATAACGTCCTTTGTTGAGACTCTTGCTGGGCTCCGAGGGCTCCCAACTCCATCTTTAGGAGGAAAGTGGGAGAAAGAAGATCACTCCACCGTCTTTACCTCCCTGCTTTCCCTAGACTGCATATTTTGACCACAGTGAGGAGGGTTGGCTGCTCTGCGATTCTTGATTCTTTCTTTGCTCTTTCCGCCCCCCCGCCCCCCGCCCTCGCGCCCCGGGACCCAGTTTGTGCAGATTCCCGAGGCGCGCGGGCGACGGCTTCCCGGCTCGGCCCAGGAAGTCATCGCGAACCCCGTTAGGGCGTCGGGACAGCACTTCTGCTCATGTCCTGCATGTCGGGCTGTAGCGCCTCGGTCCCCACATCCGCACACGGGACACCCAGTCCGCGGTCTACAAACAGCCACTTCCCCGCCCCGGGTTGGGGCAGCTCCAGCCGTCTCCTCCCTTCCCCCCGGCGCGTCCCCTCCTCGATCCCCCGGCGCGCCCCTCCACCATCCTCCGGCCCGGTCCTACCTCCAGGCGGGCTGCGGCTCCGCGGGCTCCGAGGCGCAGCTCGGGGGCGCCCGGGCGGGCGGGGGCTGCAGGCGGCGGGGGCCGGGGGCGCCATGGCCCGCAGCCCTCCGCGCGGGTGTCAGCCGGGCCTCTCCGGGAGAGCCGCGCTCCCTGCGCTCGCGTCCCCACCGCCCCGCCGCGGCCGTGGGCGAGCGGAAGGCGGGCTCGGCCCGCAGCCTCGTCCTCTCCCCGCCGGCGCGGCGGCTCTGCGCGGGCCGCGCGCCCGCCGTCCCCCGCCCGTCGCCCCCCGTCCGCCGCTCCAATGAGCTCATCCGCAGCTGGCGGGCGCCGGGCCGGTCGCCACGGCAACGCCTCTCCGAGGGCCGCGCGGACTCGGGCAGCTCCGGTAAACAGGACCTTCTGCCGGACTCTTCCCCGCTCCTTTTTGGGGGGTGGGGAGTGGGCGGATTAACCCTTTCTTTGCTGGAGACCACCGAGCGGCATTCTTCGTCTCCCCCAGCCCGGGGCTGAGACCTTGAGGTAGACGCGCCGAGGTGGGGACTTCGCTGGCTCCAGCCGTTTAACGCGTGGACGGAGGTGGCGACACCCTAGGGAGCGTGTCCCCTGCAGTGGACAGGCCGGCTGAGGTACCGAAAACCGTAACACAGGCAAGGAGAGCCCAGAGCTTCTGAGCGCAGGGAACAAGGGCTCTGGAACCCGGCGAGGAGGGAAGTCAGGCAGAGCTTCCCGGCCGCAGGACTTTATAGCGCCCACTGCGTCTCTGACGTGGGACAGTGCAGGGACACGGATCGCATGATGTGGGACCGCCAAGGAAGAAGTGCACGTGAACGTGCTGCGGGCACTTCGTGCTGCGGACGACGGGGGCGGGGGCCACGGGCGGTTTCTGAGCGGAGGAGCTCCGGCTGCTGCCGAAGGGGGCACGGACCTCGCGGTGGTGATTTATGGGTGCGGAGGGAAGGCTCCAGGCCCATCTCTCTACCGGGAGGAAAGTCATTCTTGTCTTTAGCTGGGGGGGGGGGGGGGGGAGGCTAGAAGGAGGGACCTAGATAAAGTCTAGCAGAGTGGGGGCGGGGGAGAAAGAGGTTTAGTTTACTAATCCACAAAAGCAGTGTGTAGGGGTGAGGGCGGGGTCGCGGGGGGGGGGCAGGATTGTGACACATGGGGAACTTAGATGCTGCCCAGGCAGTTCCAGTTTGTAGACCCGACCTGACATTTAAGGGAGTATTCAGATATCAAAGTCAGAGGAAAAAAGCTCCATCTCCTTAGTGAAGGGTTTTGCTCATTGTATGAGATCTTCGAAGCTTTTCTAGGGCTCGCTAGAGTTCCCTAAACTCCTTCCTGCCACACCCGTTCAATTAAGCGCGGTAAATTTTGGAATACCAATATGCAAAGTTCAAACATTTTTTAAAGTGTAAGCATTTAAATAATTGTTTTGTTTGCTGAGGTATCATTCAATACGTTTTCACTTTCTTTCTTTCTTTCTTTTTTTTTTTTTTTAAATACCAGAGACTTGGCTTCTTGAGGGTTAATTACTCCCAGGGCCCTGGGGTGTCTGGAGGCGAAGTGGAGAAAATGGCAGATGCAGAACCATTGAGCTCAGAGCCCAGCGCCCAGATGGCTGCCTCCCCCCACCCCTCACCCCCAATGCACAAAGCAGGCTGATCGCCTTTGATTTTGTGGCTTGCAAATTGCCAGTCACATCTCAGGTGGGCAGGCCAGAGAGGAGGCTAGGGAGGCCCTTAGTGGCAAGTCCTAAGTGGTAGGAGGCTGTTTCTTCATCTTTTGAGTTCTGGATACTGGCTTATTTTAGAAAAACAACCCTGGCTGGTGTGGCTCAGTGGATTGAGTGCGGTCCTGCAAACCAAAAGGTCGCCCGCTGGATTCCCAGTCAGGGCACATGCCTGGATCCCCAGTAGGGGGCGTGCGAGAAGCAACCACAGATTGATGTTTCTCTCCCCCTCTTTTTCTCTCCCTTCCCCTCTCTCTAAAAATAAACAAATAAAATCGTAAAGAAAGAAAGAAAAATACTGATGCCTCAGGTCAGACTCTGAAACTCTGATGTGCGATGCAGGAGCCTGTGCTTTGCAATTTTCCGTCCCTGCCTGCCTGTCCCAGGCCCAGGCTCCACCGTTCCTGAGGGCTGGCTGCCTCCATCCCTGGGAATCTGAGGAGTATGCCCCCATGGTAGGGGACCCACACACGGCTCCTTTCCGTCCTTTCCTTTGTGGCCCCGCCCCAGCTGGTTCCCTGAAACTTCCCAGCTGGTGCTACCCTGGGCCCTCCCAAGCCCCCATTCTCTAACTCCCAAGGAAAGGGTAGCCCCCGAGGCGGGGGCTGTGGACTGGGGCCTGGGAGACCCTCTCAATGGTCCCCTCTTCTCCCAGCTCCCAACACCGACCGCTCCAACAGCGCCTCCTCTTGCCCTCCCTGTCTGTCTTCGGCTTCTCCCCACCGTGGAAAGGGAGAGCCAGGTGGGAGGGAGTGCCGGCCTCAAGTCGGGAAAGCTGTGGGTGAGAGGAAGGGTAAGAGCTGATTGTTTTTTATTGTAAATCCTGCTCTTTCCACCCAGCGCAGCCACGGAGCTCTGCAGAACATCTCACTACCTTTCCTCCTCTTCCCTCAGGGTCTTGGGGAGCACGGGCTCAGGGGCGGAAGGTCAAATGGCTCTAGAGCAGGTTGCTTCGCCTCTAACCCAGTGTCTTCATCTGTAAGGTAGAAATAGCAATGGTTATGCCCAACCTCGTAGCGTTGTGAGGATTAAAATAGATCAAGTAAAGGGTGTTGTTCCGGGCCTGGCCCGTGGGGGGCGCTCTGGGTTAGCGTGCGTTTGTTATTCTTTTCCTGGACTCGTTTCTTTCACAAGGTGCTCAGGGTTCAAAAGCAGGGAGCGGAAAGTTTTTTTTCTCCCCCATAAGAGTTGAGCTATCCCCTCCAGCACCCGTTTTAGGTCCAGGGCCTCTGCCAGAGCCAGCAACACAGCCCGCTTCATCTTCACCACAAGCCGAGTAAAGGAGACGGACGGATGGGAGGGCTGGCCTGGTTAAGACCGGAGAGAGCCTGAGAAGGAGTCTTTGAACATCTCCTCTCCAAATCGTTTAATTTCCACTTAAATTCCTTCTGAGTGCTAAACATTTACTGAGCATCTTTTTTGGTTCCGGGCACTTTGCATATGTCATGTCATGTAATCCCCCTCACACGTCTGAACAATGAATGATACATTATTCCTACCTTTTTATGGGTGGAGAACCCAAGTTCCGAGAGGTTATGTACCTTACTTAAGGTCACATGGGTTCAGGCTGGTCTGGCTCAAGCCATGCTCTTTTATTATACCAGGCTGCCCGGGAGCAAAGGCTCTGCCCAGTGCCACCCGCCTGCTCAGGAGGGGATTTCTAGCTCACCATTCAGTTCTGGCTCTCGTTATGCTGCCCCCTCTGGAAGGCGCAGGCAGTGCAGTTCCTGGAACATCTCTAACCCCGCCCCAGCCCCCCATCAGGTACCCCTATCTGGGTCACTGTTACCATCTCTTCTCCGCCCCTCCACAGCAACCCGCTTCTGTCTCGTTGCCACGTGCCTGCCAGTGCGCAGTTGAAAGGCATACATGCAGCAGATGATGGATGACAGGCTGGGCTATTTTATTACGATGATTACTTTATCTAGAAAGCTGCGTGGGGAGAGGAATCATTTATCTGTGTTTAGCCCCTTGACATCTGGATGAGGTAGAGCACGGAGGGAACTTACTTTAGCGGGGAAGAGTCACCTCTGACACGCCCTTGGAGAGGACCCTCCTCGTCCCTCTGAGGGCCGGGGCTGAGCCTGCGGAGCCATCTGACAAGCAGCAGGACTCCCTTGTGCTTCGCAGGCACCCGACTCCTTCCCTCTATCCTTATCCCACCGCTCGTCCCATCCTTGGCCCATCTCTCCTCCTGCAGAGGCTGGATGCAAGTCCCTTCCCGCCCCACCACAACCCCTGGCTGGCTTCCTCCGAGGAAACAAAACCAAGCCAAGCGTCCCACAAAAACCTCAAAGCCAGCCTTGGTTTGTTCTTGGTCCCAATCAAATGTCATCCAGAAGGTGTGGGATAGAAGGGGCAGGGGAAGCTGAGGCCACCCAGGGAGACCTCCTTCATCCTCCCCTTGCTTCTGAGGGCCTGTCTTTGGGATCACTTTGTAGCTTTAGAACAGACATTAAAGAACCAGGAGCAGCGCAGCTGCTACAGGATGGGGCACAGCAAAGCAGAGCACGCAGAGCCTGATGGGACTTCACCTACGGCCAGGCCACACCCCTCAGGTAGGAGGGAGGGGCCTGTTGGACCCCATGCATTCATTAATATGGGAGCAGCACCTGCACGGGAGTAGCTCTAGAACAAGCCACCTAGACAACCAGAAGGTGGGGACCAGAGGGGGGGAAATTCTCATGAGAAGTAATTGAGACATTTCAACCAGACAAAAAGAGAAAGGGAGAAGGTAACAAGTGGGCCCACAACAGCCCCCTCCCTTAGTATCTTTTCCCAGTACCGATTCTGAGATTTTCTATGTATGCAGGTACCACAGGGCCAGAATTTTTAAAAAAGATTTTCTTTCTTTATTTTTAGGGGAAGGGAGAAAGAGAGGGAGAGAAACATCAATGTGTGGTTGCCTCTCACCGGGCTGCCATTGGGGACCTGGCCTGCAACCCAGGCATGTGCCCCGACTGTGAATTGAACCGGCTACCTTTTGGTGCGCAGTCTGTGCTCAATCCACTGAGCCACACCAGCCAGGGTAGGGCCAGAATTTTTATGCGTAGGTCCAATTCTCTTAGGAGCTAACTGCAGGCCAGGTTTACCATGCAGGACTTGGGGGCAGTGTGAGGTCCATGCTTCTCAAACTTTTTATTTGCCAGATAATCCCCTTGGCTTGTTAGGGGATGGGGAACCTAATCTTCCCCTCAGGGTCCCTAATACAGGGGCACCCAGGAGTCTGCAGTTTCACAAGCACCCAGGGTGGCTTAAGTCCCCTTGGAGACACACTAGTGCAGAGGCTGTTCGAACGAGGATGGAAAAGGGGAGGCTGGGGCAGGCCTACGCAGGCAGTCGATCTTCTGAGTGTGGGAGTGGGGGTGCTGAAAGGGCCTCAGCAGAGAACTGTCCTCAACAGGGAGCGCAGTGATTCTCGCTCGGGGCAACTTTGCTCCTCAGCAGACATTTGACACTGTTTCAACATTTGAAGATCACAATTGGGAAAGGAGGGTGCTTCTGGCATCCAGTGGGGAGATGCCAGAGATGCTGCTAAACATCCTACAGTGCACAGGGCCGCTTCTGCTTCCCCTCATCCACCCCCTCATACACAGTGAAAAACTATCCTGCCCCAAATGTCAGAAGTACCGAGACAGCATCCCAGAGCCAGCCAATTCCCTATCCCCGCCTCCTTCCCAAAGGTCTTGGACAAGGACTTGCCCTGCATGGCATCTGCTATGTAGCAGTGTTACATGGGAGATGCTAAAATCATTGTACCATTTGTGTCCTTAACCAGATAAGCACAGCCAGGTGGGCATTTGCATCTTTCCCTGCCCACCCATTTCTTCTCAGCAGGGCCTGGGAACCCAGAGGAAGCTGTTGGTTGCACTTCACAAGTGAATGGTGCCACCCAGTGGTAACAGAGTTAACAACACCAGCAGGAACAGTTCCAAGAACCAGAAACTATTCTAAAACCCAGAAACTATCAACAATAATTAGTTGGTGTGGAAATTTTATGGAAACCCTCACCCTCAAAGATCACCCAAATGAGAACAAACAGAGGCTATTTATTCAGACCTTTCTGTAGCAAGGGAGTCAGCCATCATCACTTGTATTTTTGTCAGATGCTTGAGAACAAGTGAAGACCGCAATGCTAGTGGGAAAGCTTTATAGAGAGAGAAAAAAAAGGCTTCACTGTGCCCCCACTGCAGGGTGGTGGCGCAGGGGAGCTGGAGGTGGGGGCAGACTGCGTGACTGGCTTGCAGGGGATGTTTGGCGTTCCGTGGTTGGGTCCCGAGTGGGAAGTGGGGAGAAAATTAGAGAGGCTGGCAGTCACTGACCACGTCCTGGCCATTCTTGGCCCATCGCTGCAGGGCTGTGGGTCAGAGGGCTGTTGTCATACATGGTCTGGCCAGCCTCTTATGTACTCATCATTCTAAATGCACTCCTGCTGTGACCGAGCCTGGAACACAGCGCATAAAGTTACTCACTTTATGAGCGAGTAACAGCCTGATGGCGAACCAACACCTGCGGTTTGTAAAGGCCGCCCTTACAAATCTTGATTTAGGGTTGATTTTGATACAACTGTTTGTCCTTGGTGCCTTAATATGTCTGACATCATTCTCCTGATGGATGTTTACATGGGCCCCAGGAATCCCTCAACTTCGCCAACCACCATTCTTGTCACCACCACCACCACCACCATCACCTCCACCACCACCACCATCACCATCACCTCCACCACCACCACCATCTCCATCACCTCCACCACCATCACCAACAGCACCATCTCTACCACCTTCACCACCACCATCACCTCCACCACCACCATCACCTTCACCACCACCTCCATCACCTCCATCACCTCCATCACCACCACCACCTCCATGACCTCCACCTCCACCTCCACCACCACCACATCCATCACCACCTCCACCATCACCTCCACCACCTCTACCACCACCTCCATCACCTCCACCACCTCCACCACCACTTCCATCACCACTACCACCATCACCACCACCTCCAACCATCACCAACTCCTCCAGAAGGTAAATGGTTCTCAAACTTTGTTCTTAGGACTAGAAGAAGCAGCAGAGTGGGAAATTGTTAGAAATGCACATTCTCAGGCTTCACTCCAGACTTAAGAGAATCAGACACTGGTTATGGGGCAGCCCTCAGGTGGATGCTAAAGTTGGGAACAGCTGCTTAACTGAATTTCTAGGACACCCTTAAGTCAGCCCTTCCACAATGTACCCTCCGAATTTGTGAAATTATGCCTGTCATATGAAATAGGGAGAGAAACAAAATGACTTTTATTTCTCTAGGTAATGCAGAAGGTATTTGCTAGCACTTACTGGCGCCCTGCGCCTGACCACATCGGTTTGTGGCTTACTGCCTTTAAGAGCTTTGAGAGGCGAGTACTAGTCTTACCTTCATCTGACGAGAGAGGAGTGGAGGCTCCGGACGATGAGGGGACTTGTCCCCAAGGTTGTACAGGTTATGGGGAGGGAAACTGAAACCAGGCTCATTTCGCTCCAGAATTTTGCCGTCAACTACTGTTACACATTTTAATTGCCAGAATCATACACACAAACGTAGCGGACTTGTGCAGCTTTAGTCAGACTCACTTCCCTAGTTAGCTGAAGGAGAAACAGGCCCAGGAAGACTTGCCTGAGGTCACACTGTTCCCTTCTATTCGGTGGGCTAGAACCCAGGGCCTCTGGTCCTCAATAAGCCCTTTGAAGAATCGGAGATACATACAAGAACATTCCACATGCCTTTGGGACAGAGCGGGGAAGTAAATCAGGAGGAGGTTGGGGAGGGGATAATTAATGGCTGGTCATATTTGAAACCAGTGGTGGTAGGGATGACTTCTGTCTTGGGAACAGCAGAGGAGTCTGCAGTATCTTGGGGAAATGGGAAATGGATGACTGGTTAACAACTCAGGAGCAGCCACAAGCCACTCCCCACTGCTGTCTCTCCGTCCAGGCCCCCAGGTGCCCATTTTTGGGCACTCCTGAGGGAGTGGCAGTCACACTTCCAGCAAGAGGAACCACATGTGGTCGGGGGCACACAGCCCGCGGGTCACCCCTGGGCCAGTTTCCGTGGAAGCCTCTCCTCCACCTGCAGGCGAAGGGCTGCATGTGCGGAGGCGGCGGTGGTCCCCTGGGCGGACAGCCTCAAAACCCCCACTGGGGGAGTGCAGAGAGGACCCGTGGGCCTGCCCCGGCTGCGCTGCCTTATTCCCAAGCTCCCTTTCTCCCCACTCTAGAACCACCTGTCTTTCCTTTGGTTTCTTGAGGTTAAAACAAGTAAACGACTCCCCCAACAAAACCCCTCAAGCCCAGTTCCTTCCTATTTTAGGGTTTTTCCTTTGTCTGAACATCCTCCCACCCCAAGGCCTCCCTTCCCCTTTGAAGTAGCTACACCCTATTGGTTCTCGCTATTCATTTCTTTCATGGCTCTTGCCACACATAGAAATTGTACGTTGCGTTCCCGTGTGGTTCCCCTCATAAGTGGTCAGAGTGGAGGGCAGGATGCGCTCTCCACTTCGAAGCCTCGCAGGGTGCCTTGCTCAATGCACATTATATTACCTGGCCTTGATTAGTAGTACGTTCAGATTAAGAAATACTTATGGCGCTTAATATGTACCAGTTGAATGAATGAACATGGCCTTCCAGGAGCCGTTCCCCAAGGTCCAAACACGTTCCCCAAATCGATGCAGCCTGGGACTCCTCCGCCCCCTCATCCCACTCAACTGAAACCCATACCGGCGTTCACAACTATCTTGCAGTTCATGGCCTATTTTAGGGTTTCCACGCTCTACGTAAGGAAAGCTACAAAGATGTCAGTGGAAAGACAGACACGCGCGGGGAAGGGGGCGAGCGCGGGGCCTACGTTTGCGTTTTGTGTTGGATCTATCCCTAGGATCCAGGATCTTAGGCTCAGGGTGCGCCTCTGCGGGTGTCCGCGCCGCGTCCGCTTTAAGGGGCGGAGCCAGAACTGGTGGGCGGGGCGCTCCCGGAAGACGCGGAGGCTCGGGCTCCGAGCGCGATCCCGGGTCCTCCGCGCTTGATTCCCGGCCCTCTGCTTCGGCTTCCAGCTCCCGGCGTGGGATCCTCTGCCTTCTGCACCTCCTCCCCGCTCTCGCTGCTCCGATCCCAGGCTCTGTGCACCCAACTCCCAAGCCCTCGCACCCCGACCCCCCGCTCTCCTCCGCTCTCCCTCGCTCGCCCTTGCGGCCGGGGCCCCCTACGGGCCTCTGTGCTGCGACCCTTTGCAAACCCTTGACCCCGACCCGACTCCACCTTCGTCCAGCACCTAGAAGCGGTACCCCGCCACACCGGTGACCTCGTGCGGGCCCCAGAACGCAGTGACGCTGCGGTCGCCCGGCTCTGTTTCCGCCCGCGCGGCCACCTCGCGCAGGCCACGTTCTCGCCCTGGGCCTGGCTTCGAATCTGGCTTGGCCCCTCGGGTTCTCACAGTGGATTCCGTTCTGAAAGTCCCCGTGGGCGCAGCTGGTCTCGGGCGAAGGCCGCCGGCAGCCTCAAGCCTTGGGCCAGGGCCCTACCGGAGAGGAGGGAGTAGGGCGTGGGGCCCGGAGGGACGGATGGGCCGTTCCCTCGGGCGGGCAAGGCGGGGCAGGGTTGTGGGGCCGGAGGGGGAGTGCGGCCCGGCGGCGGGGGGGCTGGGCGCAGGACTGGGCTTAGACTACACGTGAGCTGAACGGGGTCAGCTGTGGTCCCGGACTCAAGTCCGCTTGCCGGAAGTGTGAACATAGGTAGGTGCCCTTTAAGCGGAGGGCAGGCAGCCTAGGCCGCGGAACTCTGGGAGAGGATGGTGACTCCTTGGCGCCTCTCTGTCAGGGTCTGCTTGGCGTACCTAAGGGGTTTTGAGCTCAGAAAGGAACTCTATCTTTTAAGACCCTTTGGATGCCCTCGAAATTCCAGACTCTGTTGGCTTCTGCTTGGCACTTTGCCCAAACTCGTCTCAGTCCATGGGGACATTGGTGAGGGAGCCTCTGAGAACGCGTGTCAGCCAAGGGCCAGCTGGAGTGACCTGGCTGACAATGGGCCTCTGGAGAGAGTCTCCCAAGACACGTGGCATGGCTGCCTCCTCTACCTCCGCCTGGGGCTGCGAGCTGGGGCTCTCCTGGTGAAATTCTTCCCCCTCCTCCTACTCTACCCTCTCACCTACCTGGCTCCCAGCATCTCCAGCCTCTGGCTGCACCTGCTTCTGAAAGCCACAGAGACCTCCGGCCCCACGTACATCAAACTGGGCCAGTGGGCCAGCACCCGGCGAGATCTCTTCTCAGAGGCCTTCTGTGCCCAGTTCTCGAAGCTACACGTCCGGGTGACTCCGCACCCCTGGGCTCACACTGAGCACATCCTGCAGCAGGCGTTTGGGGAGGACTGGGGGAAGGTCCTCCGCTTCGAGAAGCAGGACCCCGTGGGTTCAGGCTGCGTGGCCCAAGTGTACAAAGCACGTGCCAACCCTGTCTTCCTGGAGAATGACGGCATCCAGAGACTCGCCCGGGCTTCCAGGCTGCAGCCTCCTTCAGAGGCTGGGGCAGCTGCGGGGCTGAGAGAGCTGTTTGGGCACCTGGAGAAGCGGTGGTGGTCTCAAGGAAATCTTGCCGACCAGTCGTTTCTAGAAAGACTTCTTCTCCCTAAAGCCGACCTGACGAGATCAGACACAGTTGTGTCCCAGGCCTTGGCACCTGCCCACCCCCCTCAGCCACATCACCTCATCCCTGTGGCAGTGAAAGTAAGTGCTCTGATGTCTTCGGTGGGCCCTGCTGGTCTCTAAAATCTCTCTGACCCTGTGGAGCTACCCTAGACCAGGAGCCCCTCCTTTGCAAACCATCCCACATTGCCTTCCATTGACTTGCATGAGTTTGAGCATTATCTGAGTGCCTGTAATGTGTGAGCTGTTTTATTTCTTGGCTTGAGGGAGAGGTGGTGGGAATAGTCTGATAAAGGAAAATGAAGAGGGTTTGGAGTTCACTGCCTCCGGGCAGAGGAACCACCGGCCAGCTGACCGACTACTCTCGGGTCAGGATAAATCAGAGACAGACAGGTCACATGCGCTGTGGCAAGCCCAAGCTGGCAGTGTTCGTTTTTACAGAAGTGGCTTTCTCACTTCACGTCCTGTCACTCTGGCCGGGCTCCATCATTTCTTGTTCCCGCACTGTCCCGTCCTGTTCAGCATAACCCAGGGGGTCTGGCAGACACAAGCAGCAGGTCCTCCTGATGCTCTTTTACTACCTGGGAAAGAACCTGCTTGCGTTTCCACCAAGCAGCCCATGGTGACTACTAGGTACCCTTTGGGAGCCCCTGACCTAAATGTATTTGGGAACAAAAAGCCCATCTATTCTTCCCAGGAAGCTAAGTGCAGTGCAGAGGAGATGCTGACGGCATCTCCTCAGGGAAAGCTCGTGGAGGGAGGGAGGCAAGAGCATCCTGGGTGTGGGGACCACTTCCCCTTTGCTCTGAAGAGAAGCCACCTGGCTCTTCTTGGATGGTGGGACCCAGTCTGGCTGAGTGAATGGATGTGCCTTCCTGAGCCCTCCGTGGTCTCACTATTCTTCTTCCTGGCAGGTGTTGCACCCCGGCCTGCTCTCTCAGGTGCGGATGGACTTGCTGCTGATGAAGATGGGCAGCAGAGTCCTTGGACTTTTGCCAGGAATCAAGTGGCTTAGCTTGCCTGAGATAGTGGAGGAATTTGAGAAGCTCATGGTTCAACAGGTGAATTCTCCTTCCCTCAGTTATAAATAGCCTCTAACAGAGTTCTTGCCATTAGCAACTGTTTAGTAAATGCTGAATGAATGAGTATTTCTCTGTAGGTCATGGCTAGTATGGTATGTTAGTCAGGGTAAGTAACACTAGTCCATATAACAAAGGACACCCAAATCTCAGTAGCTTAATGCAACAGGGTTATTGTTTAGTAACCAAGTTCCATGCAGGTGAACTGGGGGACAGAGAGGAAGCTCTACTCCACAGCTGCTCAGGGACCAATTTCCTCCCCAGTTCGGCACTGCCATCTTCAACATGTGTCATGTAGGGTCAGTGTGGATTTGGGAGAAAAACGATGGAGGACCATGTGAGAGATTTTGTGGCCAGGCGTGGAAATGATGAATGTCACTCCTTCCTAGTCTACAGGTCAGCTCTAATCACAAGGGTCCTGCAAGGGTGCTTGGGAAGTACGGCCTTCTGAGTGCCTGGGAGAAAGGTGTAGTCATTCTGGTGGAACATACAACGTTCTCTCTAAGTGCCACGGTCAAAGGCTGAACTCCAGGGCGATAAGAACGGTCAGGAAACTCACACACTGTGCCTTTGTTTTGCTTTGTTTCCAGGGCTTTTGAGCAGACTAGGACCTCCTCCCTGTCCAGGGTCTGGGGTCACCTGTTTAAGTGGCCAGACTTGGTGGACGCACTTTGGGGGCCATTGTGGCTTCAAGCAGGCGTCTGCCCTGGCTCTCCATCGGTAGTGCAGAAGTGGGCAGACTTTCAGAAGCAGTGTGCTAAGTCCTCATTTGGATATAAGGTTTTAAGTTCAAGAGATGTGTTTTAGTGTTTAGAAGTCTTTGCTTTATGCTACGGAGTAGTGTAGCTTTGATAACAAAAGGAAATTAAAACAGAGAAAATAGCTTATATTTCAATAACCATCTCTGTGTTAATGACTCTCAGTTCTACCGCCCATCTGAGCATCCGTTCACCTTCTAGAAGTCCAAAAGACATCCCGGGGTCCCATCAGACTGAACTCAGATCTCTATCTCACCCCGTTTTGCCTACTAGCTGTGTCCAGTAGTCCTCTCGCGATCCCAGCTTGAAAGCTTGGTCTGGTGTCTGCGTGGGAGTCTGTTAGAAGCTGATGAACTAGGTCAAGTGAGCTCTTTCCAACTATAGGAATATATTGTAGGCAGAGGGCGTTGACCTGTCAATACCTGCAAGTAGTGTTTGATTGGAGATATAGTAGGAGTCTCTACAGGTTCAGTTGGGGCTCAGGAGGGAAAGTGGCCCTTCTGTCCTGAGGGTCAAGGCTCCCTTGGCTCGAGGTAGGTGTTTACAGTTGGACCATTTAGTGGAAACATTCCAATCGGAACAAGGAAGACAAAGGAGCGGGGCAGGTCAGGCAGCCTGGGGAGTTTGGCAGCGTACAGACTGGGTGAAGCTAGAGTTTGGGGTGGTAGAGGAACAGAGAGGCATAAAAGATGGGTCTGAAGAGAGAAGGGGGGCCAAACCATGATCTCCCCCTTGGATGTCATCCTGGAAAATTTAGGCTTCATTCTTTTTCTTTTTCTTCTTCTTCTTTTTTTTTTCTTAGTGTCCTCTCGTGCCTTTAAGAGCCAGCCCTATACTCAGGACGGCCCTCCTAAACTGAGAGGGAGATTGCCGTGTGTCCTGCCAGACTCCCGTTACAACTGAGCACAGGGGAGCAAAGAAAGCAGAGGCCAGGACAGTAGGCTTCATTCTGAAGATAGTAGGGGACACCAGCAGATGGAGGGGGGCATCTCCCAGAGAGGGAAGACTGTGGGGAGGGGAGCCCAACTCAGATGCATCTGTTAGGGTTCAGGTGCCTGCTTGCCAGCCCCCTTGGGAGTGGCAGTGGGTGGAGGAGAGCAGACCCGAGAGTGGTGTGGTTAGGTTAGGGCCGCAGAGTCAATGGCACTGGGCACTGGTCGGTGTGGAGGGTAAGGGAAGAAGTCCTCTGCAGTGGCTTTTGGGTGACTGGGTGCACGTGGGTGTGTGTGAAAGCAAATTCTGTTTAGACATTAAGGTCAAGGGTCTCTGGACTTCCACAGGGCAATGCCTAGATGTACATGAATGTAAGTCTGGAGACTGGCAGAGGAGGGCTGGACTGGAGGTCAAGGTTCCGTCATCGGGAGGTGCTAGCTGAGGGCGTGAGGGGCTGCCGAGAGAGAGCAAAAGCCGGTGAAGGTCAGGAGCTGAGACACGTCAGCGTCTGTGGGGCAGCTGCGAGGCAGGGGTAGCAGCCCGGAGAGTGGAGAGACGAGCAGGGCAGGGAGAATGAGGTTGTAGATTTAATTAGGACAAAAATGGGACTGGGCCCTTGGGCCTGGCAAGTGGAAGTCTTGGTGAGTTTGGGGGAACAGTGTTGGTCCAGCAGGGTGGGGGGTAGTGTGGGTGGGAGGGAGCTTGGATCAAGGGGCAGGGCCGGAGGGTGGGCTAGTGAGGGCAGTGCTGAGCCCCTGGGAGGTGGGGGGCGTCCACTGGCTGGCGAGAAGCAGGTGGGCAGAGAAGGGAGAGCGAAGCAGTGGGAGGCCACGGTCCTGTGAGGGTGTCTGCTGTTGCAGCTTAGAGGAGCTCCGGGGAGGACCAGGACTTTGGGGAGGCCTCTAGTCAAAGAATGCCTCCTCCCGTGTCCCCCAGAGCTGTGCGGGAGGAGCAGAAGGCAGGGGCTCTCCTGACTGGCTGTGTCCTTGGCAGTTCAGAGGTTGCGATCCCTGGGCCCCGACCGCCCCTCGCCTTCCCTCTCCGCTTCCCTGTAGATCGACCTGCGCTACGAAGCCCGGAACCTGGAACACTTCCAGTGCAACTTCCTGAACGTGCAGTCCGTCCGCTTCCCCACCCCTCTGCATCCCTTCGTCACCAGGGATGTCTTGGTGGAGACGTATGAAGTAAGAGTCCGGACTTACCTGGCCATGCCTTTTGCTCACAGCTGGGCCGTCTCCACTTCACCTGAAGGCTTTAGTCTGAAAAGACAGGAGCCGAGAGAGCATGGGATCAGTCCTCGTGAGAGGAGCCCGCAGGTGCCGTGGGGTGGGCAGGGGCACAGCGAGGTGGCTGAGTGGCCGCAGACTTTGTGGATGTGAAAATCTGCTCTGCCACTTTGTTTGCGGGGCGACTTTGGTTTCCTCATGTACCATGACTGGCCACTGTTCCTGCCTCAGAGGGATGTCCCAGGGGTCCGTGACACACTGAATGCAGAATGCCCTCAGCCAGAGTTTGCAGAAAGAAAGTGTGCAGCCAGTGTTTGGGTCATGTCCTTGGCCTTAGCAGGCTCCTGGTCCAGCCCCCTCTGCAAAGACGGTACATCCAGGGAAGTGATGCCACCTCCCAGTTACTAAGCTGTGTGACCCCAAGCAAGTTACTTAAACTCTCTGGGCTTTAGTTCTTTAATTTGTTAACTAGGGACAACAAGATCACGGTGAGCTGCTCTGACAGTTAAATAACTAGCCTATATGAAATGCTTATTGGCTAGCCTCCCCTGTCTCCTACCCCCACCCTTTTGGTCCATTTCCTGCTCAGGCTCACGGAACTCATTCATGTCTCTCTTGGCCGACTCCTGACCAGAAACTAGCTCTCCAGGGCCTGTTCCTGTCTGTTCCCACCACACAGCAACGTCCCGACCTGTGGGTGGCAGAGTCAGCGGGCTGCTTCTCTAACAAACCTACGGGACTTGTTTTCCTTTGAGAAGTGGAAGGGAAGGGAAATGTAGATGGGCTAAAATCAACTTGTGGGCGACAGACTCATCGGGGTTCTGAGAAAGGAAAAGCTCTTTGGGTTGGTGGGGAAGGGAACACCGTGTGCCCCGTGGGGGTGAGGAGCAGGGCTGTCCGGGGTAAAGCTGTCCCCTCCCTGATTTTCCCGGAGGAGAGCGTGCCAGTGTCCAGTTACCAGCAGGCGGGGATCCCCGTCGACCTGAAGAGGAAGATTGCTCGGCTGGGGATCAACATGCTCCTGAAGATGGTGAGTGAGCTCTCGGGCTGGGAGAGGGTGCGCAGGCCCAGCATGTGGGGAAATGATGGAGATGCTGCTCAGCTACCCTGGTGGAGGGCAAGCCAAGCATAGAGTCCACTCTAGAAATAGCTGAGCCTACAAGACACCCGTTCACTCTCCAACTCTCTGCTATGCACGTTCTCAGTGGCTTGCACTCTGTCACCTTGCAAGGTGCTGTGGGAAGGGCCGCCCAAGTTATCTACAAACAGCCTAAGACAGTATTGTATGTTACATGCTACTTTGTTCATTCATTCAGCAAGTATTTATTGAGCACATGCTATGTGCCAGGCAGTGCTGGCTCTACAGCAGTGAGCCAAACAGACACGCTTACAGTGTGCACAGAACTACCATTTAGTCGAAGACCAGCCATGCATAAGTCAATCATATGTAGGGTAAGTACAGGTACCAGAGGATCATTTAAGAGGGGCCTGTTCCAGCCCAGAGGTTTGCTCAGGAAGTGGCTCCATCTCAGCTGGGATGTGAAGGAAGTTGAGGCGTCACCCATGAGAGGACTGCCTGGCAATGACTGATGAACGGACACTGAGAAAAGGACATAGAGAGCCCTAAGCAATGTCAGTTGTCTGTGTCATCGGCAGTAACAGTGGCAACCCGGCACTGGGCAGCGCCCACGCAGGAGCATAGCATCGTCTAGGCTCCCACGTCCCCCTGGTGGTCGGCACAGAAGAGAGTGGTTGAGGGGTGGATGGCAGGTCCAGGCTGGACAGGCAGGAGAGTGCCCAGGCCTGGAGGGTGCACAGTCAGGGTAAGAAGGCACCAGGTGTGGTCTGAGAGCGGGAGGAAAGAATGGAAGTGACGGAGAAGGAGCCCTGGGGCCGAGGTAAGCAGGGTGGTGGTGCGGTGTGAGCTGACGGCGAGGCGGAGGCGGTAAGCATTCCTGCAGAGAGGACGCAGGGCAGCCCCAAGTCCACCACCCCCAGCCCAGGGTCCGTGGGTGTGGAGAGCCCACAGCGCCCCCTGCGGGGCTCCTGGGGAAGTGAGGTGTTCACGGGAGAGCCAGGTTTCCACTCGTCCGTACAATGGAAGCTTAGCGGGTAGAGGACTTTGTCCCCAGTAACAGGGCTCCAAGGGCACTGTGGGGGAGGGGCGGGCACAGAAGGGAGGCCAGGGTAGAAGCCCAGTAGGCAGCACCCAGGAGTGGGGAGATCATGGGGAGCTTCCAGCTCCTGGGATCAAGGATGGGGGCGTACGCCCCAAGGGGATGAGCTGACAGCAAGGTGCCAGGAGGTTTGGCATCAGGGTCAGGTTTCAGTAGCTTCCCCAGTTCCCAGGGCTTTCATGGGGTAGCAGCAGCCTCTGTGACCAGCAAAGCCAGGCTCTGGACTGGGAGGGGCTCTGTGCCAGCCGGACGAGTTGCCTGAGAGCCTCTCCAGGAGCGGCTGCTCTGCACCTCCACACCGGGTCTCTCCTTCCCCTTCCAGAAAGGTCGCTGGTGGTTTCTCTGACCACTGAGATGACCTCTCGCGGGAGGCAGATTTCTGTTCCACAGACTCACGCCTGACTCCCTGTCCTTCACAGTCCCTGGGGCTCTCTTTCCTGCTTAGCAGGGTCGAAGCCATTTCTCCCTGCCTGCCCAAGTCTGGGTGCCAGGAGGTGGTGGTCAGTTTTGCTGTTAGACTCACTGTGTGGACCCATGGAGGTAATGGAGGGCAAGTCTGGTTTAGGAAATATTTGAAATAAAGGCATAGAGGGTTGCGGGAAAATCTTTGAACCATGAGTAGATACTTAATTTGAATAGTAACTGCTCGAATCATAGAGTAAAAATAAGTCTTTTGAAGTGCAGCATGGTCTTTGATTTTTTTACGTTTCCTATAATCTTTTTTAATGCTCTTGACTTCAAAAATAACTTTTGTCTTGAGAGCCCCCCTGGCCTGTCCCTGTACAAATTCTGATGACGCCAAACAGCGAGGCTGTATCGCAGGCCCCCTTCTCTGCTGTGCGTCACTGGGAGCTCGCCCCATGCACGGCCTGGTAGCGACAGGGTGGTGAGGACGGACTGAGCCCTGAAGGATGCTGATCTCCTTGCAGATATTTGAGGACAACTTTGTCCACGCAGACCTTCACCCCGGGAACATCCTGGTCCAGGGCGCCGATGGTCTTTCTGCGAGTCAAGAGGCGCGGCTGCAGCAGGTGGATGTCTGTGACACGCTAGTGGCGTCCGTGACGCCTGCGCAGTGCCCCCTGCGCCTGGTGCTCCTGGATGCTGGCATCGTGGCTGAGCTGCAGGCCGCGGACCTCAGGAACTTCCAGGCGGTTTTCATGGCCGTGGCAATGGGACAGGTGAGACCCACTGGGCCCTCGGGAGTGGGGCCCAAATCTCTTAGGCTCTTGAGAACTTCGGGGCTTCTCAGCCTTCGTCACTGTGGTAAATGCCACATCTGCCAAGGGTGCTCCTGACAGAAACATCACGGCTGTAGTGTGAATGGGCTGGTGCCTGTGCCTGAGGCCAGTTCCCAGCACATCACGGTTTGGGATGGAAAGAAAGGCCTCTTTCCCAAATGCCGCTGTGTAGTTTGTGTGGTACTATCTCTTCCACCCTCAGCAAGCACACAGGTGGGCACTAGGAGGCTTCTGAGGGGGTGGACAGAGGCTTCAGCCTGAGCCAGTGTAGTGTCCCCCGGGCCACAGTGGCAGGTAGGGCGGGGTGTGTTCCCTAGCACGGGTTTGGGTGGAAGAAGGAGGTCACAGCCCAAGGAGGGACAGCTTGGCCCCTGGGGCAGTACTGTGGGAAGTGAAAGGCATGAGCAGTAACCACTGGGGCAGATGGGTGTTTGGGAGACCATGGAGGCTTCGGGCCTGGTGGAGGAGGCTGTGCATGGAGGCTGGGCCAGGAAGGGACCCTCCCAGCACAGCGAGGCTGGTCCAGCCTGGTGGCAGGTCCTGGTGGCTCTGAGGCCAGGCTGGTTGGTCAGCAGTGGCCAGAGTCAGGACAGTAGAAGAGTTAGGTGGGAATAGCTAGGATGTGGAGAAGTCTGGGCAGAGCACCTAGGTCTGTGCCCTCCTGACTTACAAAGTTTCTCTTCTTTTGCATCTTCCAGGGTGACAGAGTGGCCGAGCTCATCCTGCATCACGCTCGGGCCAGTGAGTGCAGGGACGTCGGGCGATTCAAGGCTGAGATGGCCACACTGGTGACCCAGGCCAGGAAGGACACGATCACCCTGGAAAAGGTGAGCAGGCCACGCCAGGGGCAGGGGCCTTGCTCTTGCCCTGGGACAGAACAGACCCCAAGGTGAAGGGACACCTTTCACTGGGGAGACGTCTCGAGGTGGTTTGAGTTTCAGGGCAGACAGAGAACAAACCTTTCCTCTGCCCACACCTCCCAGGTGGGAGGAGGCCCACTGCCATCTCTGGCTCTCAGAGTGGTCCCTGGCCAGGTTCTCAGGGTGGCTGCGGGGGCACTATTTATAGTGTCACACCCCTCCCTGTCTGGGGTGTAGCTGTTCTGGGGCTTCTTCTGTTTCGGAGCGCAGCCAAGCTTGGAAGGAGAGACGACCAAGGTCTCTGAGCAGCCCAAGGACTTAGCTCAAGTTCACCTCCTTTACTTAGGCCTGAGCCAGAGCCCAATTTGTGTCTTACACTCAGTTCTAGGAAACCCGTTTTTTCCCCAAGTTCATGGTCTACACTAGCAGGATCAAGTCAGAGCAAGCAGGGGCCACGGGCAGGGCGGAGCGGCAGCTGGCCCTCCGATCAAGCTTATTTAGTATGTGCTGCGGGTAGACTCGCACAGGGGTAGCTGGGCCTCCAGGCCTCTTCCTGGAAGGAGTCTTTTCATTCAGGCTCCTCATACTCAAGATGGGAGTTGGGTCTGTGCATGTGCAGTCCTTCTGGAGTTTGTCAGTCAGTCCCTTTCCACTCATTGGTGAGCGTGTGTGTGTCTGTGTGTGTGTGTGTCTGTGTGTGTGTGTGTGTCTGTGTGTATGTGTGGGGGGGGAGGTTGGTGTGGTGGGGGCAGGATAGGGGCCCGGAAGGGAGAGAAGCGGTGCCGGGGGCTGCGCACTCTCAGTCTGCAGTCAGTTTTATTTTACTCTCTTTTCCAGCTTCAAGTCTCCAGCCTTCTCTCCAGCGTCTTTAAGTTACTGATGACTCACAAGGTGAGGCCCCAGGCCGAGCTGAGCCCCTGTGCTCTGGTCGGCCTGGAGGGAGCTCTCGGGGAGGCCGGTGGGTAGCCACAGGGTGGAGAGGAGTACTCCTCTTTATGCGATCTCGTTTTCGAGAGCATTCTCTGTGCCAGCTGATCAGCACGAAGAGTGCTGCCCCCGGGTACGCACTAGGTCCAGCACACTGTCGCCACACTGTTGGTCTGCGTCTCCGTCAGACTCTGCCGTCTAAGCATCTCTGATACTGAGCGGTGGCAAATGGGTTCACAGATGTAAAACAGGCAAACTAAAGCTTTCATGCCCTTTCCCTCCTCTGTCCACATTCACGACCTTGGTGTTAAGCTCCGTCTTCCTTAGCCAGCTCTTTCCTGTGTGGTGTGAAGTCCTGGGGTTGGGGGCGGCCTGAGAGGAGGTGCCTCTTGTCCTGGCATGTTCAGAGGCCCCGGCACATCTGTCCTGGTCTCTGCCTCCTGTCCCCTGTCCCCTGAGGAAGGTGGTCTCAGAGTTCTTCACCTTGGCCCTTGTCTGTCTCCTTGTGATGGAGTGTGGCCTTGGGCTGTTCTTCAAAGTAAAGCTGCCAGCCAAGGGTGTAAGGAGTTGAGAGCAGGGAAGGGAAGATTCTTGTCCGAAGATGGACTTTTCCATTGTTTTTCTTGAGGTTCTGGAGTCTGATAATGAAATACCACATGGAAGAGGCAGCCATTTATCAAGGATCATAACACAGAATTAAGTCAGAGACTTGGCTGGTCAGAAGGATGACCCTTATGTAGACTGATAATTTCTGCTATATCTCTGAGATACTAATTTTATTATTTTTAAGTCACACATGTGCTATAGAGAACACCCCAACTTTTCCTTATAATACTAGGAGATGGGAGGCTGGGGGAGTAGATGAGATGGTGGGGAAAGCAATGGGGCAGGGGAGACAGTGTTCTGTGGGCAGTAAACATCACATGGGCGGGTACGAGAGGCCGAGAGTGGACAGCAACGTCGTTATCCAGAACTTTCTTTATATACCCACGGGCTTTGGAAAGAACCACTTATTTTCTGTTCCAGGTGAAGCTTGAGAGCAACTTTGCTTCCATTGTGTTTGCCATCATGGTGCTAGAGGGGCTTGGCCGCTCGCTGGACCCCAAACTGGACATCCTGGAGGCAGCAAAGCCCTTCCTGCTGAAAGGGCTAGTGTCTTCCCCCTGACCATGGCCGTGGCTGTGCGGTGGTCCCCGCCTCTGCTGAGGACTGAAGGCCGCTCCCCACAGCCTCTCCCGGGGCAGCCGGAACGTTTACAAACTGGGATGTGTGGGGGGCAGCCCGTTGCTTTTCACTCGGATTTGGTTCAGGCACCTGTTTAAACAGCTTTGGGTTATTTGGGGAAGTAAAGGGAGGGAGGGGGTCCCATCTATTCAGTTGTAGGAGCTGGGCCTGGTGGGAGACTCTATTTTGGGGAAAAGGTTCTGTGGAGGAGGACAAATAAACTTAAGTTATTTTGTTTTCTTCTTCTCTCTTCTTCACCCTCTGCACTCCCTCATCGGGTGGACCCTCCCGGACTCTGAGAATTAGGTCAGGAAATGTCACTAAATCCTGTAGACCGATGACTTCCCCTTTTTAAATGCACCCATTGGTAAAAAGTTGAATGTATTTATGTGCCCATACATATATGACTTGTACATTTTACACAGGTGATATACCATCACTAGCAAATATCTGGAGGCACAATATATACTTAGGGCAAATTTCACTGTACTTCAAATTATCTTCTTTATACTTTAAAATATTTTTTTGCTGACTTCTTGCTAAATTTTATCACAAGGCAAAAAAGAAAAGCAACATTTAATGTGGCTGATATATTAGGGACAGGAGCAGAATCAGCTCTGCCCTTTTCTTTTTTGAATTATTTAAAAAATTTACTTGGGTTGGGGGCAGAGAGGGGGAGAGAGAGAGAGAAACACCCATTTGTTGGACCACTATTTATGCAGTCATTGGTTGCTTCTTGTAAGTGCTCTGACCAGGGATCAAACCCATAACCTCGCGGTATCTGGACAATGCTCTAACCAACTGACCTACCCAACCAGGGCAGCTCTGCCTTCTTCAAGTTCTCCTGGACTCACATGGTAGTGCTCAGGCTGTAGTTTCTCTGAGCACTGTTCAGGCCCTCACCCATTTGTCCAGGGTTAGTGTTGGTTAATAGTAATATATAGATAATATAATCAGTACAGCCTCTTAACCAGGGCTTGAAATCTGCAGTAGCACTCAGTGACACCCTGGCAGTGAATTAAGGGGTGGTGGCCACTGCCTGCCCCTCTGTGCTGGGCCCACAGACTGGCCCCTCAAAGTGGACCTGACGTGGGGCTGGCCCTCATGGACTACGAGCATCCCCGGATCAGCTTGTAGTGTGGACATTAATAAAGCTTAATCTCTTATTTTTTCTAAACAAAAATAGTATTTGCTCCCTCATCCCAGTGGATTCTCTTGCTGTTTTTGCAGGCTGCTGCTTTAGACAGTGAGTGAAAAGTCAAGCCTTCCGGTTCTCTGAAAGTCCTGCTCTGGCCACAGGACTAGAACTAGGATCAAGTTCCTCATTTCTGTCCTTTTCTTTTCTTTTTTTTTTTTTTTTTAAGATTTTGTTCATTTATTTTTAGAGAGGGGAAGGGAAGGAAAAAGAGAGGGAGAGGAAAAAAAATTAATGTGTGGTTGCCTCTCACATGCCCCAAACCAGGGACGTGGCCTATAACCCAGGCATGTGCCCTGACTGGGAATCGAACCGGCAACCCTTTGGCTCATAGGCCTGCACTCAGCCCACTGAGCTATACCAGCCAGGGCTCATTTCTGTCCTTTAGGGAGCAAGTCACATTTAGTTCGGCAGAGATTCCCTTGGCGAAGTGTTTTCCAGAGGAGTAGAGATGTTTTACTTCCCAAGTCTTGAGGGGAGGGAATTCTAATCAGGCAAGGAGGTAACAGGGAGGCGAGGGGTAGCAGGGAGAAGGAAGTAGCGTTGTCCCGCTCCCTCCTCATGGGCACACCAGCTAGACACACAGCCCTGCACCAGGACCCACAGACCTAGTAGGTGAGGCAAGTCGGGGGCACACGTACAGAGCAGGTGCTTCCCTGAGCCTGCAGCAGCACCAGCAAACCTTTCCTTACAGCCGATGGATTTAATCAAGCCATTTGCATACAAACTACTCCAAAACTTAGTGGCTTAGAACCACATTTATTCCCTCGCATGTCTGCAGGTCAGAAATCTGGGTGGAGCTTAGCCGGGCCCTCTGCTCAGGGTCTTGCACAAACATTTGGAGGCCCCACTAGGGCGGGTCAGATGCTACACTCACGTGTGTGACTGTTGGCATGATCCATTTCCTCGTGGACAGTTGCACTAATGGCCTAGGTTCTCAGGAGCTATTACAGCAGCAACAGGAAATGAACACAGGCTGTATCGAAAAGGAGACAAATGGTTAACGGATGTGCTTGAATGTATGTAATTTGCTGATTTTTAAAATAATCTGCCCTGGTTGGGTAGCTCAGTTGGTTGGAGCATCATCCCCATACGCCAAGGTTGTGGGTTTGATCCCCGGTCAGGGCACGTACAAGAATCAACCAACGGATGCATAAGCAAGGAGGACAACAAATCAATGTTTCTCTCTTTCTTGCTCTGAAATCAACGAAGACTAAAAAAATAAGAATCTTTAAAATACTAAACTGGATTTATGTAGTCATCAACTTAGGGAGAAAAGGCCCCTCTCTGGGGTGTTAAGTGGAGGAAGTGGCTGGTGTGCCTTCTCCAGCAGAGATCACAGACCTGCCTCCTCCCCAGCAGGAAGTGCGGGTTCATTTCAGTGCTGCCGAAACTGCTGGGAAGGCTGGTTCCTTCTTTCCAGGACTCACAAGGGAAGAGTAGGACATTAAATAAACAAAAGTTTTGTGAACAATTTATTTTTTTCATCTTGCTTTGTTTTCTATTTGCAGGTATAGAATAAGTTCTTGTCTGGGGTTAGATGCTCTGTGAGGTCATTTAGAGTCTGTCCATACAGTTTGTCAGAATTTGACCGGGAATTAGATCTGCATTTAGAAGCTGAGAGCTCAGGGCTTGGCACCCTTTCCCTCACCTAAAGTGCATCCATTTGTCCTGACTGGTGTGGCTCAGTAGGTTGGGAGTCATCCTGCAAAAACAGAAGGTTGCCAGTTCTATTCCTGGTCAGGACACATACCTAGGTTGCAGGTCTGGTCCCCCAGGGATGCGCATATGAGAGGCAACCAATGGGTGTTTCTATCCCTCTCTTTCTTCCTCCTTTCTCTAAAAGTAAAAAAATCTTTTAAAAAACGCATCCAAATGAGGTTGTCATCTTAGAATGCAAAAGAGGGCCATCGTGCAAACTGCAGAAGGCAGTAAGGGATATTTGTCTTGTGTGTCCACAAGACAAATGTCACTGCTACACGGTCAAAATAGTCTATTGATTGGGATCATAAATTTTTTATAGTAACATCAGAATTTGTGACATAAAACAAAACTAAAGACCCCCTAAATGGTCTACAGATCAATATTGCTTTAAATACAAGCAAGCATTGAAGTTAAAACTTTTTGTTTTGTAATTCAGCAAGAAAAGCTGGGGAGGGTGAATGAATCTTCATTCACCTGAATAGCTTTTGCTGCTAAGGAAGGTAAAATAAAGGAATAAAAATTCCCTGAGCGCATGCTGTGGGCCAGGTACTATCTTAAATGACTCAAACTAAGATGAGGGGCACTGACGCTCTGAGCAATAAAGTGGTTTACTCAAATTCATAGAGCTAATAATTGGCAGAGCTGAGGTCTGGACTTCAGATCTTCATTCCTAGTTCCATGCTCTCTGCTGTTTGAGAGCTGTGCTGCTTGTGGCGTTGGAATCACAGCGTCGTTCTTTGCCGGGAGCACGGCAGCTGTAGATACAGCTTGGGCAGCCAGTTCCCTAGGAAGATGGCAAGCCTTGTCCTCCCATTTCAGAAACCACTCTCTTAGTGGTTTGTAGAAAGGGTAACTGGTGAATAGTAGCCCAGACGAAGCCACACCGTGGCTTATGAACTGGAAAGTCAACTTACGTCCAGAAAACAGTGGATTCTTTTTTCTAATTTACAGCTGTAGTTAGGAGGGCAGAACAGGGCCAGAGGATAAATTAACAGGCTGTTCTGAAGGGAGTGGAGCAGCTCGGCAATCCTGTCACAGGGCACGTGGAGGCCCATATCTTGGCAGAGGAGAGGTGTCAGTTATAGTCAAATACACCCAAATTCCTCAATTTAGGTCCACATGTCCCTCCATAGGTATCCTATTTTTCATGCTTGTGACTCTGAACCTGAGGTGCTTAGCAAGGGTCCCATTTCAAATTGGAATCGCCAAGGCTAGGCTAGCAGGCTGTTAAACCTGGAGGTGCTTAAGAAAACTACAGCCCGTTAAGAGGAGGCCCTGAGAATTTGGGGAGGGGCGTCTAGGGAAGCTTGGAATCCATCCAGGATTTAATAGGAGGTAATAGTAAGAAACAACAGCCAAGAATCAAGGGCTGGCTTACGATCAAGGAATTAGGAGTACTGCCCAGACTAGAGGCTGTGCTAAAATGCAGACTCCTTGGCCCTACTCCAGACTTAGAGTATGTGGGGCCGGCCTCCTCAGTTGACTTTGATACCACCAGTCGCCCATATACTGGTATTTGGGACCTACTTTCCGCCTGTTGATAAAGTTACAGTTTGCAGAACAACAATAAAATAAGGAAGACTTAAAGATGTCATCGTGAGCCTCTTACAGGAGAGGCGAGTTCAAAAACTAGGTTTGGGAAGGACCACTGGTTCACAAAGGATTTGGCAACTTAAGAGGGTCTGGAAGGCAGCTAATTCGGGAGCAGCCGGCCAAGTGGCAGGTCCAGATAGGCAAACACCGTCCAGATCTGCACCAGTAGGGAGGAGCGAGCTCAGACTCGGTGTTAGAGAGTCTCGGCACCCGCTTAACAAACAGATGCTCCTACAGCCGGGACGCCGGGGCGGTAGCCCCACCTCCCTCCGCCAGCGTCCGCAGACCCATCCCCGGGGAAGCGCGCGCGCGCCGCTCCGAGCAGACGAGCCCGGCAAAGCCGACACTTAGGAACGACCAGGGCCGACTACTTCCTTCGATTTTCGCAGGGCGCCTCCTCAACCCCCAAGCCAAGACGCTCTGGGTTCCTCCTTGCGCTCAGCCCTACCCTGCAGAAGACGTGAGATGTTAATTTGAACTGGGAAACTCGGCTTCCCGGCCCCTCAGACGTCAACCACAGGCCCATGGGCGGGGCGACGCGCTGACGTTGGGGGCGGGGCGCCGGGGGATGTGACGTGCACGTTGGGGGCGGCCTCCGGGTGGCTGTCCGGACTTGGGTGGGCATGTCGGCTGTGACGCGGCTGGCGCCTTTAGTTCGCGGTGGAGGCGGCCTCTTCAGAGGCCTCCGCGCCCGGTTGTCTGGAAACGGAGTCCGTCAGTAAGTGTCGGCTGGGGTGGGGGTTTGGCTGCTTCTAACAGAAAGCGCTAGTTTCTGGGACGTACTCACCTTGATGCTGGGCGCCAGGGGCGGATCCGGGTCTTTCTGCGACCTTCACCCCGATGCATGCTGGGACTTGTAGTCCGACCGCGCGTGGGGCGGTGCGTCCTGCACGCGTCGTAACGCCAGGTCCTGCGAGAGCTGATTATAGTGGGCGAGTGGGGACGCTGTTCTCTTGGCAGATAGTAAATGCTGTGTGTTGGGGTGGGGGGTTGGGGAGGGTGACGACAGGTTCCTGCACTAAGGACCTTCTGCCCTGGAGAAATTCACAGTTGTATGGGGACACAGCCTGAAGATAATCTGGAAGCTAGAGCAGAAGTTGAGGAAGCGAGGGTGGTCTAGGCTAGTGCGAAGCTGGCGGTGGCAGAGGTGAGGCTGGAGGCCTTAGAGCATAGGAAGGGAACGGCACAGGGTCCTGATGCCTGGCTGAAGAACCTAACCCAGGCGACAGCGGTCGTTGAGAGGTTTCAATCAGATGTCATGTGACCAGATTTTAATTCTGAAAAATCACTTTGGCTGCAGGTCGCAGAATTACTACTTCCCTAAGGCACGGGAGGCGATCACCTCCCGTGGAAGGTGCGAGAGGAGAGAGCCAAAAGTGGATGTTCAGGCAATATCAGAATTTTTCTTTTTCTTAAAAAATAAATTTATTTTTTAGCGCAGTTTGAGAATCACGGCAAAATCGAGTGGAAGGTAGAGACTTGTCATATACTGCCCTCTGCAACATGCACCACTTCTTCCATTGTCACCATCTCCCTTCAGAGTGGTACCTCTGTCATAGTTGATGGACCTACATTGACAAAACATTGACACCCAAAGTCCGTATTTTACGTTAGAGTTCACTCTTGCAACATCAGCATTAAAAGGAATGAGCAAAAGAGTCAACTGGTGAGGTGTGTAGCCCAAAAATCCTACAGGAAAGCTTAGCATGGGGATGGGTGGGGGGCACACCTGCCAAAAACGAGCTGGTAGTGTAGAGTCAGTAAGAGCCGCACTGAAAATAGTACCTTGGATTTTTCCAGGTGTTGTTGAAGGCCCCTTAGATCATCCTCTATACTTTACCAACAGGCAGTGCAGGAGAGTGCCTGCCACACCAGCTGTGTGACCTGGGAAGTGTCTTGATCTCTTCCTGCTTCAGCTTTCTCACCTATGTAATGGGGATAATAATGGTGACTGCTAGGGATTACATGAATTACCATACTCTAAAGTGTTTCAGGGCAGTTGCTTGTGCAGAGCAAGGACCATACAAGTATGTCCCTGCTGTTGTGAGGGAACTGAGACTCAGAGAAATTGAACGAATGACTCGTCTAAAGTCACGTGTTTATTAAGGACATGGAGCTGGGACAGGTGTGGGGTGGGAAGAAGGAGAAGGCCTAGGTGACCTGAGCTGAGACATAATGGAGAGGTACCACAGTAGCCCTTCACTCTGCATGGGGAGACGGGGGCGGTGGGGGGTGTGTGTGTGTTGCTGTTCACTGAGTTCTTGGTACTTCCATTGCACATGCTGATTTTACAGTGTGAGTTGCAAGTGAATAAATACAGGGTCTGGTACAAATAATGCCCCCCCTTTTGTTGCAAAATCATAAGTCTGTAATTCTGTAACATACAATATCACACTGAAGCATACTGTATGACATTTTAGGTGAAATTTAAAAATTAAAACTACAGATTATTGCACCCATATCATTTACCCTGCCAACTACACTCAAGCACGGGTTACTTCTGCTGGACTCTGTATTTGTGGAATATCTTCTAGATTCCAGGATTCTGTCTAGGTGCTGGGGATAGAACAGAAAACAGGAAAGATGATGGAGCTTCCATTCTGGAGAAAGGACACAAGTAGAAAAGAAACAACTTTTAGGTACCTAGTGTTTTTTAAAGCATAATTCTTTTAAAGGTATTTATTTATGTTTAGAGAGAGGGGAAAAGAGGCATCACTGTGTGGTTGGCTGTTGCACACCCCCTACTGGGGGCCTGGCTCTCAAACCAGGCATGTGCCCTGACTGGGAATTGGACCAGCGACCCTTTGATTCATAGGCTGGCACTCAATCCACTGAGCCACACCAGCCAGGGCTAGGTACTGTTAAGTGATGTGAAGAAAATAAAGCGAGGGAATAATCTAGAGTCCCTGGGATGAGGGTTGGTTTACTATGTGCAGGATGATGTAGGAATGCATGCCTGAGGGTTTGAATTGAACCAGGACTGAGTGATGAGAAGGCAGCCAAGCAAAGATGCCAGGAAGAGCATCTCCACGAAGGAGACAGCAAATGCAGAGGCTCCGAGTGCTGCCGATGGGCCAGCAGGCTGGGCGGCTGGAGTGGGGTGAGCACAGGGGAGAGTGGTAGGTAGTGGTGGGGTCGACGAGACCTGCTAGGTCCAGATCAGGGAGGACCTTGTAGGTGACGAGGCAGACGGGATGGGAGGGGATACAGGCTTTCAAGCCTCAGAGTAAAACATAACCCATTATGTTTTAAAAACGTAACTTTCACTGAGAGTTATGGTGTGTTTTTGTGTTTAGACTTGACACTTAAAAACCTCGGTTTGGGACCCCACTTATTTCAAGTCATAGTTAAAATAACATGTCATTGTAGCAATAGTGAAACGGGGAGAGTGGGTTGGAACTATACTTCTCAAATCTTATTTAATGAGTTTAAACAATGGGCCCTTATAACTAGATTGTGTCTAAAACCTGTCAAAGCAGCGGCCTGTTGTTACAGTGTCTTCTTCCCCATTGTTTTTTTTTTTAAACAATTGATTTTTTAAAAAGGTTTTATTTATTCATTTTTAGAGAGAGGGGAAGAGAAGGAGAGACATATCAATGTGCGGTTGCCTCAGTTGCCTCTCCCGCTCCCCCTGCTGGGGACCTGGTGTGCAGCCCAGGCATGTGCCCTGGGTGGGAATTGAACTGGTTGACCCTTTGGTTCGCAGCGCGCACCCTCAGTTCACTGAGCTATGCCAGCCAGGGCCCATAGAGTGGTCTTCTAATGAAGATTGCAACAGAGCAGAGGACATAATTTGCCTTTGAAATAAATGGTTAAAATAGAACAAAATTAATTTGCTTATTTTTCTGGATTGGCTAATGACTACTTACTATAGGTTCATAATCCCTTAACCAAGATTCTTGGGACCTCATTATCAGCACACTCCTATTTCTGGTGCATGATACACGAATATTCACTGAAGGAAAATCATAATTAGTCTCATCAATTCCGGCCAGTTTTTTCTGCGATACAAGTTTAAAGTGAGCTTTATGAAAAAGGAATATTTTGAGGGATCTTGGAATGCTCTCATTCTGTATTTCGTGGAGGAGAGGAGAAGCGTTAGCTTTCGTTTCTGGATGTCACTCGAGTTTTGGATGACCGAATGAAAACTTTGACGATGCAGCAGCTGCTTAACATTTTTCTTCTGTCTCGCAGTGCTGGCGGTGGCGTGCACATCGAGCCCCGGTACAGACAATTCCCCCAGCTCACCAGATCCCAGGTGATCCAGGCCGAGTTCTTCAGTGCAACCATGTGGTTCTGGATTCTCTGGCGCTTCTGGCACGACTCAGATGCTGTGCTGGTACGTGCAGGGAAGTGTTCTCCTTGTGGGTGGGAAGGGGGAAGAAACATTGATAACTTAGCTTTTTTTCTGTGTGTGTAGACTGCTTTTCTATCTGTAGTTTTAATTACCTCGTTCAACCATGGTCTGAAAATATCAAATGGAAAGTTCTAGAAATGAAGAATGTAAAAGTTTTAAATTGTGCCCCATTCTGAGTAGTGGGATAAAATCTTGCGCTGGCCTGCCCCGTCCTGCCTGCGATGTGACGTGTCCCTTTGTCCGCCACCTCTGCACCGTACACAGTGTCTGTCAGTTACTCCCTTAGTAGCCATCTCGGTTATCAGATCGAGTGTTGTATCGAGGTGCTTGTGTTCAAGTCACTCCCTTTTTTACTTAAAAAAAGTAAAAAAAAAAGCGGCTGCAAAGTACAAGGGTAGTGACGCTGGCCATTCAGATCTGGCAAAGAGATGTTGTAAAGTGCTTCCCTTAAGGGAAAAGGCAGTTACGGATAGGAAAATACGTTGTATGCGTAGGATTCAGCACTATCCATGGTTGGAGGCATCCACTGGGGGTCTTGGAACGTATCCTCTGTGGATAAGGGGGCTACTGTATATCCCTTCATGTTGTCCTGTGTGTACGCAGCAATCTTGTTAATGCAGCGTATCTTTTCTGCTAAGGGGTGCGCATGTAGTTAGTGCGCGGCTTATCTGTTAGTTTGCTGTATTTGGAGGGAGACTAGAAACTAACTTCTTTTTACCTTCTGAGCTAGGAGTTCATCAGCAGCTTCAGTTTCACACTTAAATTCTTTAAACAATGACCGTCACAGAGTCTGTCTGGGGGCCCGAGGCAGCCAGATTGGGGTGGGGGTAGATGTGGACTGATGTGTTTTGAGGGGGGAAGTTTCATTGTGTTTGTCCAGACCCTGTTCACTGGTAAATGACGGCTTTAAGCCACTGAAATCTGTGCTTGTTGATCGAGAATACTTTTCAATTTTAGTAAATTTGGTTTTGTTCTTAGGGCAGGAAAAGATGTGAATTAAGTTTCAGAAGTGTCAGGTTGATTAATGTCCCATTTCTCTTAGAAACTCTGCGTCCGGCTGCCCAGGGAGCAGCTGCCCAGTGTCTGCACGGGCAGCACGTGGACGCCTGCCCTCCTCCCTGGGGGCGAGCGCTTGGGAGGGTGTGTGGCCACTCGGTGTGAGACGATGGTGCAGCCAGGTGCGCCCCAGGTCGGGGTTGAAGGCGAACGAGCCCACCGCAGGCTCCCAGGTCTCCCAGCAGGAATGACAGCGCAGTTTGAGACAGCGTTACGTCGTGCCAGGGCTTCGAGGCCTTGCTGAGATGTGGGGTATCCTTGAAATCCGGCGCCTCCATCTCCTCTGTCCTCCATCACAAACACATACGCAAACTCTGGCTCAGGCTGGCGGCTTCAGAATGAGTAGGCGCTTAAAATCCAGGCCACAGCTTGTACTGAGCAGATCAAAGACCAGTCGGACCATAGAGTGAAGTAGCAGGATTTGCTCCTGTGGCGTGTCAAGGGCTGTGTATGTTACAGCATTATCACATTTTACATTCAAGATTTAAATATATATATATTTTATCTATTATGCCATTACAGTTGTCTCATTTCTCCTTCATTCCCCTCCATCCTGCACCCCGTCCTCCCACAGCCATTCCCCCCTTTTAGTCCATGTCCACATGTCATAAGTTCTACAAGATTGCCTTTTTTTTTTTTAAAGATTTTACTTATTTTTAGAGGAGAAGGGAAGGAGAAAGAGGGAGAGAAGCATCAATGTGTGGTTGCCTCTTGCATACCCCATACCTGGCCTGCAACCCAGGTATCTGCCCTGACTGGTAATCGAACCAGCAACCCTTTGGTTCACAGGCCCGCACTCAATCCACTGAGCTACACCAGCCAGGGCTACAAGATTTCTCTTTAAATGTAATTGTGTGGAGCATAGAAACTTGACTCTTCTTTGGTTTTGTTGTGTAACGATGTCACCAGGGTCACTTTCCGTATCCAGACCCTTCCCGGTGGACGGATGAGGAGTTAGGCATCCCTCCTGATGATGAAGACTGAACACGGAGACTGGACTCTTTACAAGTGGGTCTGCCCCATTTCTGGTTTTTTAAAGCCACACTTACCTCTTGTCAGTAATGCTGTTCTGACTTTGTACCTATGATGGTCTCGAAGGAATATGTATTTTCTAACAGTATGAAAAACAATGAATCCTTACCACGCCTCATTTCTGAATATAGTAGTTTTACATTTGCTGCACACCTCACCCCACCCTAATTTGGTCTCCTCTTCCTTTTCATTGTATATTGAAAAAAATTCTTTTTTCTTAAGTTATGTTACAATTTAGGGTCTCATTTATCCAGCAGAGGCTTTTTTTTAGGTACCAACTCTGCACAGAGATTAAAGGAGTGGACAGGACAGGTGTGGGTGTACAGTGTGTATGTTTGCAGTTGCAAAAATACTAGTATTCTCCTTTGGCTTTTTTTTTCCCTTTTTTTATATCAATGTATGGTTGCTTCTGGTGCATCCCCTGCTGGGAACCGGCCTGCAACCCAGGCATGTGTCCTGACAGGGAATCAAACCGCGATCTTTTGGTTCACAGGCCCATGCTCAATCCACTGAGCTACACCAGCCAGGGCATCCTTTAGCATTTAAATGGCACGTTCCAGCATATGGGAGTGCTATGATACGGATTTGTGTGGAAATTAACTATTTAAACAGTACAAGGTTACGGCCCTTTCATTTCCAGTTCAGGAAGTCAGTTTTTCTTTTTCCAAAGGGAAGGTGTTAGGACTTCCTTGTCCTATAATCCCTCAGAGGTTAAGACAGTCTCACTTAACACGTTTTTAAATTAATCATCGCACAATTTTAATTGCCATCATTCAGAATGCCTTGAAAATTGTTCTGAAGGATAGGGAGCATTAAATGATAGTTGAGTGTTCCCATTCAATTGTATTACTAGTACTGCCCTTATAATTTTTAAGTTAGAAGTAGCTTATTGACATGACAGTTACAGCAGCAGCGACCTCCTCCTGCCCTCACGGACATCCCAGCATTCCCGCACGCGCTGTCTAGTGACTTGTTGTGATAACTAGACTGTCCCTGGCTCACGGGCTGCACATGGCCTAGGATGGCTGGGGGTGAGACCCAATACAGAATTGTAAACTTACCTAAAACCTTTTTTCCAGTCGTCAGTTTTCGTTAGTGTTGGGCCAAGACAACTCTTCTCCTTCCAGCGTGGCCCAGAGATGCCAGTGGCGGACGCCCCTGCATGTAAGCCCTTGGAGAGCGCGTGGCGATTTTGCTTCCCGCCTCTACAAGGCCGCTCGCGTGACTAGTGCTGAGTGGATGCCTGTGTCTTCGAACGGGCAGAATTATGGACTTGCATTACTGAGAATGAAAGTACTTAAAGCTTTCCGTTTCTTTTTTACCGCAGGAGCCGGGTGAGAGAAGTTCACGAAGGTATGGACTCCAGTTCCTATGGGATATTGAAGTTGTAAAATAAAGTGTTTTGGTCGAGAATGAGGAACTGAGTTATGGATGTTTCTGATTACAGCAACCCTCTTTGGATTATTCCCCGTGCCAACCGCTGAGAGGTCCTTTCAGAGGACCTTTTCGGGTGCCCCCAGGACAGGTTGCTGTTAGCTCCTTTCATCATTGAGTTTCGGGGGCACGGAGTGACTTGCTTGGGGTGACACACTGATGGGTAATGACATGCAGTCTGACCCCACACTTAGCTCCAGTGGGATACTGCCTGCCTCCCTCGCTACTGTCTTAGTTATGTGTTTGTTGAGAGTCAAAACCTGCCATTTCTCTACTGCCGGTGTCTTGTTGCCAAGTGTATAGAGGTTAGAAGTCCGGGCAGGCCATTTATTGTGTTTACGTATCTCTTGTGGGCTGAGCACTGTGTTCAGTGGTCATTTGTGGAACTCATAAGGCACTTTTGCTAGGAATTCTTAGGGCTGGAGGAATGGGAGACAAGGGTAAAATGGATACTCTACTTTTTCTAAAATTTGTTTCAAAGTACCAGCTATCTGTAGCATCAAGATTCTGAGAGTCAGAAGGACAGGATTTTCCTCTATCCAAAGGTAAAAATCTGCAGGGTAGAGCAGCTTAATGGCTTGCCTGGAAACTCTTTATATTTTTAATTTGGGTGTTTGACCACCTAGGCACTGGGAATTCAGTGCTAAACAAGACAGGTAAGATTCTGTTCACAGGGAACTTAGATTTTAGGGAGGGAAGAAATAAAGTTGTCAAGTGCCACGAAGGAAGTAACGTTGGGTGACGTGCTGGAGACAGATGGTCTTCGGGGTGGGTGAGGAAAGCACTTGACCAGGAACCTGAACTACTAGTAGTGGGAGGAACCAGTTTTGCAACGTCTGAGGGGAAAGTGCTGTAGGGACAAGGAACAGCAAGAACCAAAGCCTAGGGTGGGACCAAAGTCAGCGTGTTTAAGGAACAGAAAGTCCAGTGGGGTCCCGGCAGGTGAGGGGTTGGGGCCAAGGAGGTTAACAGGTCATGGTTGCAGGTTTAGGTGGATGTGCAGTGCAGTGAGGAGCTTCCGGCAGGCCCTGAGCAGGGCGAGTGAGGGGTGATTTGGTGAGCATGCCCAGGCCTCCCCCAGGTCTGCACTCCTTTCGTTCTCAGTTGTCGGGGGGCACGACGAGAGGAAGCAAGCCGACCCGAGAGGAAGCAAGCCGACCGGCAGCCTCCCTCTCCTACTGCCTGCTGCAGCAGTCCCGAGCCTGCGGCAGGGGTCCTGGGACACGGCCCTGGGTTTTGTGTTTCCTCACCTGTGTGAGAGGGAGCTGCCTCAGCTGATGAGTATTTAGAAGGAAAGACCATCAGATCTCTGTACTTTTCACTTATGTCTGTTGCCCCTTGTCCCGCCATACCAAGAAAATTTGGGGGAAGGAACACAATGTATAACAGTTAAGTAGGATGTCATTAGCGATTTTCCTTAGAGATGGCCCAAAACAGCCTGACGTGAAGTCAAAGGTAACCTGAAACCGGCAATCGTCTAAAATCAGCCAGGGTGGCCTCCCCCCACCCGATCCTCTTTTCCATACTTGGGCCGGGAAGCCAGTTTGCGCTGGTGCAGAGATTGTCCCCGGCCTTCTCGCAAAGGCTGTTACAGCTTAAGGAGAATACTTCAGTGAAGAAGGCCCCAAAGAGATGTTTAATACATTTGGTGGATGGCTACATGCAGTGAGGTAGCAGTAAAAACTTAATAAATGTGTCTATTAAATTTTCATATTCCATTTTATAGACGAGGAAATTGAGCTGTAAGGTGGGCTGGGTAATTTGCCCAAACTCATACAGCCAGTTAGGGAGCCAAGGTTCAAATCCTGGCTGCCCGGCCCTAGCTTACGTCAGCGTATCTCAGAGTTAGAACAGCACAGTGTAGACCTTTTTATGACCTACTTTTTAAAAACTATTTTCTCCATTACCATTTATTCCCCGTATTCCTCTCTCCTCCCTCAAGACCTGCTCTTAATTTTACACTGTGACCTAAAATATCAATTATACACACACGCAAACATAAAAGTTTAATGAAACGGTACTTACCTGTGGTGCACTGTTTTCTCTTGTATTCTACATAAAGAGAATGGTGGTTGATACTCATTTTACTACTCATTAATGGGCCTCAACCTGCATCTTAAAAAATGGGCCAAGTTTAAGAGCTCCGGCTTCGGGGGCAAGCTAGTGGATCTGACTCACTGCTCCCCTGTGAACTAGCTGTGTGGCCAGGCCACTCATTGGACCCATCGATCAGATGCCTCAGTCTCATTTCTACATGGACAAATAAACAGGGTAGCACATACAGCCCTTAGAATTATGTCTGGCATGAAGGAAATGCTCTCTAAATGCAAGGCACTTATTTCTGGACCACTGGGCCTAAGCTAAGTTTACAGTGATCCCTGAGTCCCAGTTTGGTTTTACAGAAAAGGCTTCCTATGGAGACAGATTCAGCTGCAATCAGACGTCCCACCAGATGCGGTGGCACACCACCTCTGCCTAAAAGCAGACATTTAGGATGTCTCCCTAATGAGCTAAAGCCACGTTCAAAGTAAGTTTTAGGGTACACCTGGAGACCTGGACCATCCCAAAGGTAGGGAAGGTAGGTGGTGAAGGAATTACCGATGGCAACAGACCAAGCAGGTGTCACATTTAAACCCCAATTCGGAGCTTCCTTTCCCGTGGAAACTTAAGTGTGAAGAACACAATGGGTTATCTAATAAAGTCGGAGACAGGAGGTGTCATACAAGGAACACCCACTGGACGAGAATCACAGGAAAGTATAGAAGTAGCCTTGATTCCACCCGCCACTAGAACTATCCCGTAGAAGAGGTCGACCTGGTTGCTTGTGGCCACGGTCTCATCAGGAGTGTCATTGAACAGTGTGCAGTGAGGAAGCGAGGGCTGCTTGACCTGCCTCAGCAGCTGGGCCTTTGGCTTTTGTCACCTGTGCCTTGCACAACACCCATATCTATCCAAATCTCACGACAGGCATCAGGCAAAGTGATATAAAACACAAAGGACCGATGTGCGAAACAGGAGTCCTGACTTCAGCCCTCGCTCTGCAGGCCCAGGCAGGGCACCTTTGGGGCTTCACGTTCATTAACTGAGGACAGTTGGACCAGACTGAGAATTTTCTGCTCTAATATTTTGTGCATCGAGGACTATCTAACCCAGACAGCAGATCCAACGATCACAGCTTCTGACAAAATGTCAGAAAAGCCAGTGTGGTAGGGTGCTTTGTAATAGGATTTTATCACAACAATTAAAGCAGTCACAATTCTGGGCTAACTTTTAAGGAACACCTCTTACAGAATACATTCTTTAAAAATACGGCCATGATTTTTGTAATCATCCATGAAGATTATTTGAAAACAAGTCTCTAAGACATTTATATTACAGATCACACTTTTCAGGTAAGAAAACTGCAGTTCAGAGAAAGTACTTTGAAGCCTGAGCAGCATTTGATGATTAGTGGGAGGGGCGTGAAGACCAGAAGAAACCAGACACGTCAAACACGTGCCGTCTTAAAGTTTTCTGTTCCCATTGTTCTCAAATGCTGTGTTTCCAGGCAAAGTTTCCAGTTTACTCCTGGAGACCTTGCTCAGTAATTTGACATAGTTTGAAGATACTCTGGGTACCTTTCAAAGTTCAAGTATTGAAATCAAATGCATAAAATCAACTCTTTGGGGTTGCCAGCATTACAAAAAAAGGTAGTAAAAAACATGCATGCATAGTTTCAGGTACATACATGTGTGTGTGTGTGTGTGTGTGTGTACATTCTGTGTTCCTACAGAAAACATTATTGGAAGTTGTGTCAAAAAAGTTTGAAAGCTCCAGACTCCTTAAATGGCTCCATGAGACCAGGCACCTCACCTGAGCCCTGGGAGGGGACCACTCGGGTCACAGAGTCGAAATACTTGAGGGTCATCACTACAACAGTGTGGCCAGCAGGTATCTGGTTTGAAAACGTTACAACTATTTCATTTCTGTAAGTAACGTCTACCCATCAAGCAGTCATCGACATTGTATGCGAGAAACAAAACCTACAATTCCCAGGCCCTCGCTGCCTGGAAGCCTGACAACACCCTGACTGTTTCCGTTACTGGGTGCGAGAGTGCTGGAAAAATAATGTTGATAAAGACTTCTCCATGCAGTCAATCTTTATTATAGCAGTATTCGCATATTCACATCAAGTACATAGAACTTTTTTTGCCTTTTATATAATACAGAGTTTTTAAATAACTTTACACAGAAATAAATTTCTTCAATCTGAGTTTCAGCTATCTTTTTTTATTTAATTCTTCATGCTTTCTATCCAAACTGAACAATATTTTCCATTGTACAAATTTACATGAGAAAAATTCCAAAGTACAAATGAAGGGACCTGAGCAGGAAAGAGAACCAAAGTATCAAGAAGTCGGTTTGGGGGAGAATTGAGGAAAAAAAAAAAGATTCAAGCAAACACTGAGGATTAAGGGACAAGAGGGAGACATCATCCGTTTGACTGAAAATAAATGTCTTTTTTTTTATGAATTCAAAAATAAGTTTTAAAAATAGTTACTCCATAATTTTTGCAAAGCAGGTACAGAGAGGTCTGTGGGCAGTCAGAAAGCCCCCATCTGTTCACTGGGCACCCCCCAGACGCCACGAGAGCCTTTTCAATCAATGCTCAAGTGGGGCTGAAGAGAGCGACACCCGAACCTTTGGCAGCGAGACAGGGATGTGTATGCGAACTGCCGTGAGGTTTGGAGCGGTGAACCTGGAGCCACTGATTGCCCTTGGTTACAACGTGAAGGGCTTCTCTTTCCTCTCCCTTTTAGAAGATGTATCCTCAAACCAAGATGTAAATGAAAAGGGGGGTGATGTCTTTTTTCTTGGTCTGAGCCAAAGAGCAACCATGACTACGGTGGAGAATTCAATGCAACATGTCCGTAAATGGTCAAATGCAATCCCCCCAGTTGGGTGTACACTCCTACTGTAGGAGGAGCAGAAACTGCTGAGTG